AGCCGCCAGGGTCACCCAGTTTCCCATCCTCCTGCAGCAGCCTGGAGGAGTTAAGGGCGAGTGGGAAAGCGCCCGCGGCGGCCGTCGCGCGGTCCCGGCTGCTCCCCTTCTCCGGCAGTCCTCGGCCCTGGAGGAACCGGCCACCCCCAACTAAGGGGTCTCCTAGGAGGACCCTCGTCTCGTCGTCTTCCTCCTCATCGTCGTCAGGTTCTCGACTTTCTTCCTCCTCTTCTTCACCCTCCGGGGGCTTGTGGCCCTCCACATCCACCTCCTGCTCTTCTTCCTCATCGTCCTCGTCCTCGGAGCTGTCCTCACTGGGATAACTGCAGCTGGTGCCCCCGGGGGACAGAAGGCCTCGGTGGTGCGGCTGCGGGGCCAGAGGGGGCGGCGGAGGCGGGGGTGGCGGCGGAGCTGGGTGATGGCGCTCGGAAGCCTGCTCGTCAGGCTGCGGGGGCAGCAGCAGCAGTGGTGACGGCGGCTGCGGTGGATGATGGTGGTGGTGGTGGTGGTGCGGGTGGTGATGATGGTGGTGGTGGTGGTGCGCTTGGGTCGAGTGCGGCGCGCCCGCCGACGCCCCGTGCAGCTTGGCCAGGCTCTCTGCGTCGTCCTTACCGCCCACGGGCCTGAAGGCGCTCGAATGGTGGTAGCTGCTACTGCCGGCCTTGCGCCCCTCCAGCAAGTGCGGGTGGTGGGGCGCGGGCACCCGGGCGCCGGCGGGGCCAGCTCCGGTGGACGAAACCCCTGCCCCAGACGTCGCGCCAGGGTCTGCAGGCGGCGTGGAACCCGCGCTGCAGTCCCCCCCGCTGCCGCCCGGGGGCGACTCGAAGAGCGTGTCACGAGCGCCCGCGCCCCCGGCAGGTGGTGGCGGGCCAGAGCCCGGGCCATTGGCCACCACTGGAGGGGGCTGACCCGGCGGGGGCGCAGCCTCGGCGCTCCCGCCGGTACCGCCGGGCTCCGCCAAGTCCAGGAAAGCCTGGCGCAGCAGGGCCGGGCTGTCACCAAGCGCGCAACCGAGCGCTGAGGGCGGCTGCGGCGGGGGCTGTAGGTAGGTGGGTACAGGAAGCCCACCGGGGGTCCGTGGTGGCCAGAACATGCAGAAGGGTGGGTAGAACGCGTCCTTGCGGCCCGCGGGCCAGAAGAGACCCGACAAACCGGCCTTGGGCGCTGCACCTGCGCTCCCTGTGCCAGCTGCCCCTAGGGCCTCAGCCGCGGCGCTGGAGTCCTCCTTCTTGTGACACAAGCCAAAGGCGGCGGCGGCTGCTGGGAAGGTGTAAGGATGCGGGAATAAGCCCCCGCATCCCGGGAACTTCTGAAGGACGCCCCCAAATGAGCCCTTGCTGGGCACCGGAATGACTGGGTAGCTGCGAGGGCCTTTGGCACCAGCTACCGCACCTGACCCAGCACCGGCGCCAACGCCAACGCCAACGCCGGTCACACAGCCACCACCGGCGCCACCCCCACTTGCCCCAGCGCCTCCTGAGGCCGCTGCCACCGAGAGGCTGGCGGCGGCTGCCGAAAGGCTGGCCGCGGCCACAACGGCTGCCTCCTGTAAAGACTCGTCGTCCTCATCGAAGCGCGGCCTCTTGTGATGGGCATGTGGTGCGCCCGCCAGCTCGGCTAGCGGTGGCGGAGGCGGTGGCGGCTGTGGCGCGCCCAGCAGGTGTGGGCCCAGCAGGCCCCCTCCTCCAGCCACTGCTGCTGCGGCTGCCACAGCGGCTGCTTTGACCGAGCTGAGCGGGTGACAGCCAGGGTGCGCTCCGGGTTGAGGCAGTGCGCGCTTGCGGCTTCCGCCGTTGAACATGGCCTTCACGTCCTCCCAGGCGAAGACTAGCTCATCCTGAGGGCTCTTGTCTGTGAGCTTGAGATGACGGCGCCACGAATTGAAGTTGGCTGCATCTGGCTGCGTGTACTTGGCGTCGGGCGTTCGGTGGGAGTGGAAAATAAACTTGTTGGGCGAGAAGTACATGTTGCAATAGCTGCACTTGATGCACTTGGCGCGCGAGCTGTTGTATCGCGCGGGAATGAAGCTGCCTCGGCAGCCCCAGGCGCACTCATGCGACACGTCGAAGGCGAAGTTGTCAGGCAGCTTGGGCGGCCTGTTTTCACCTAGGAAAGACTTGCACAGACGTTCGGCCTCGCGCTTGGTGATCATGCCGCAGCGGCGCGATGAGATGGGCATGGCTCCAGCGCGCCGCAGAATCTCCAGCTGCACAGGCGTGCATTGCACGCACGTGATGCCCAGAGCCACGCGGCGGTTGTGGATCTCGTTGTAGCTGAAGTTCTTAAGGAGAGTGTTGGAGATCTGCGCCAGGCACAGCCGCTCCTGTCCGTCGATCACTAACGACACGATAGGAATGCCATAGAGGATCACCTGGCCCACTTGGTTGGGTTTGAGATTGGCGTGGCCTGGCCGAGGCTGGCTCAAGGCGTCAGGCTGGAAGGCGCTCGACGGCGACGCCAGCAGGATGTCGTTTGGCCCCGGCAGCGGGCTGGAAGCCATCTTCTTCGCCGCGGAACCCCGGGCGGAGCCCTCAGGGTCTGCCTCGGAGACTGCAAGGGAAAGGAGAAAGTGTTGCCTTGAGACTTCCCAGTCTAAAACAGAGGGTGGGTGACTCACTAACTGAAGAATTACAGTAACTTCCTTGCTTTGGTTAAGACACGATTATTACTGCAAGTGATCAAGTTTCAGATGCAAGGAAGACATCTCTTAATTTCTTTTAAGGATGCTCTTGAGAGAGTACAATGATTTTGAGGTAACAATTTTTCTTCTGTCCTACATATCCAATATATAATATATAACTAAAAATGTATATAATTTAGTGTATAATATATAAAGCAGTCAGTTCCTAAAAATGTGGAGACCTTATCCCGGATTTATGGAAGCTATTGAAATATTATGTGCCCGCTAGAAATGAAAAAGTAATGACAGCTGTAACTAGAATAGATTACAGAAGTTATGGAAAAATGGAACTTGGCCATTAAAACTCAAATGTAAAGAAAGAGACCATTCGTATTTGCTTGAAAATGAATTGATTTTGGTTAAAAATATAAACCCAACCCTTTAAAAAGTGATTTTTGTGGTTTCTGTGGTTTCCTTGGGGAAATTCACTACTAGTTGAAACACAGCTCATTAAAGCAAAAACGAAATCCCTTTTCACCCATCCTTGCTATTAGATATTTTGTTACTGACATTAGAGTTTTTTTGAAAACATGGGAAAGTGTACAAAGTTATATACATGCTTGCACCAAAATATTTCACTTTCGATTCTTTAAATATCTATTTGTTGAACTGCGTGGTCCTGGTTCCATATAGGAAGCTTAAAAAGATGAAGTTGAAGACCTGAAAGCATTTTAAAATGGGTTTCTTATCATTTCCATGACAAGGGGTAAGTCGATACAAGCAAGTGTGCTAAACCCAGAAACAGCGCAAAGAAAACAGTTCTTAGGGATCATTTTTGTTGGACTTTCAAAAGCAAATTGGGCATAATGTAAACCACCTTCTGTGACTTTTACCCCCTTATCTGTGTCGCTGTTTTTCCACCTTTATGGAAGAAAAGATGCCCCGTAGTAAAGATATTGCTAAAGTAGGTAATTGTGGAAGCATTGGAAGGAAAATGCATGGCTGAATCTGGAATAAAATTCCTAATTTCATCTTGGGCCAACGGAATACCACAATGGGGGGAATATCCAGTAAGTTGAAATTAAAGAAAAATATGAAAGAAACCTTTGTGACAACCCTGGTAACTCAAAACAAGCTAAACGATGCATTTCCTGTCCAGTAAAGCAAACAGCGACCTTTCCATACCTACTTGTCCAAGACATAGGCCAATGCTACTCTTTGCCCTGGAAAATCACCAGAGGCCATAGCATAGCCACTCTCTGCCAAGTATGCTGGACTTTGTTATTATAGCGATTTCAGAAGACATACCATCTTACTCCTCACCCAAGTTGTCATACCCGTGCTCCTTTTTTTAAAAAATTTTTTTGGCCCCTGTGACATCTATATGACCGCCTTTGCCCTGCTGCCCCAGGGATCCTCAGTTCTCATTAGGTTCTGTGGCCTCCAGGAAGGCTGAACGAATCTCGACACTCATCAAAGAGAGGAAAGCCTAGCTTGTCACTTCGGATGGATCAGAAACAATATTTTCAGGGGACAGGCGTTAAATAGCAGTCCAATGCATAGTGATACCTGAGCCTGACCTAACAAGCCCTAGCTTCACCAAATGGCCCTTCAATGCTCATTTCCCTCCCAAACAAGATTCGTATTATCTCAATAAGACCCAGGGAAAACTCGCTCCTCAGAAAACAAGCGCCTGGGCAGGGGAGCTGGATCTGTACTGGGAACTCGTATCCTTGGCAGCGAACAATCGAGCAGATGTGTCTTCTCTTTGGTGTCCTCCACTTTCACCTCAAACCCTCCCAGAAACATCTGTCAGAGCAGAGAAACAAATAAGAAGGTTCGGATTGGGGAATATTTTAAGGCCCGAGAGGAGAAGCGACAATTAAAAGTTAGTTGTACTGAGAAAGGAACCTGGCGAACTTCCTCATCCGACTTACTAACCAAAGCCCACCAACTTGCTTCTGTCTCCACACCCATAACCACGGAAGCCCGCCGCTGCCCTCAACCTCACGCGGAAAATTCCATGGCTGGGGATGTCAAATAGTGAACCGTGAGGTGTGTGCGGAGTCAGGACCGGCGGGCTCAGACTATACCTGGTAACCCCTAGACGTCTTTAGGCGCGTGGCTGCCGGCCCATCTTCCGAGGGCGCTCGGAGGCGAAGCATCCAAGCGAGTCCTCGAATCCAGCGGGCGGGACTCTGGCGGGCTGCGCGCGAAGATCCGGGCGCTGGTGCGAGCTAATGGCGCTCGAACCCCAGCGTGGGGGAGAATGAAGGCCTGAATTGCGGCGGGGTGTCCCCTGCACCGCAAAAAGTGTGGGCGCGCGGAAAACCGCGGCCGGCGAGCCCCAAGTGGAGCGCAGTCTGACAGCGCCTTTCTCTGTCTCAGAACTCGTGTCGGACCGAGGGGACGCCACCCAGCGGGCAGGGTGACGTCACCGTCTCCCTGACACTCCACATTAAAGGGCTGGCATGTTACAGGGAGGGAGGGGGAGAGTGAAAGCAAGAAGGAGCAACATAGAGATCTTTTCTCAGCAGGCACCAAAAGCTACCACCTAACCAACCGGCAACTGACAACCTCTCCAACCCAAGAGCAAAACGCAGCAATGGGACTGGATCTGCAGATCTGATTTAGAAGGGGGAAGGCTAAAAAAAAAAAAAAAAAAAAAAGAAGGGGGAAGGCTGACCGGTCTGCGTACCGAGGATCTGGATCCTGGAGGCCCTGGATTCTAGAAGAATGCCTGTGAATTAACTGCCTGCCCATAATTGTCCTCTTGTCATTTCTCTGAGTCACGCTCCTTTCATGAGCGATGCCTCTGGTACACGGTGCAAACCAGTAGCCCCTTCCTGTCTCCGAAGATACAGAATCCACAGTCAGCGGGAGAGCAGATTAGTTTCAGCGTCTTGTTAGAAAACACTGTGAAATGAGAAAAGGAAAGAAGTTTCCACATAGGGTGCTCAATCTGAAACTTGGAAGGAAGCATGAAGATCATTTCCATTTGCTTTTTAAGAAGAGAGAGGCAATGCAGCCTTCTCTGTTTTACAAAGTGTACAATTGGGTGAGGACCACACCGTGTGCCTGTGTACATTCACCCCTTAACTTTCTAATTCATTTTTATCAGATCTGTGCAGGCCACCTTAGTACAAAGAAAAAAATGAGGTGGGGAATCAGAGAGGTCCCCAATCCAGACAGACCCTTAAACAAGTTGCCAGTTCCTCTGGAGTTGTACATTCCCTAGGGACTCAAGTAGGAGCATGTACCCTCCCTCCTTGGTAAAAGGGGATAATTAGGATGAGAAAGAACCTTTCTCATAGCTCTCCAAAGTGAGGCATACCCTGGGACACTAATGAAATGTAAAATGTTATCTCCTAATTGACTAGCTCAATTTTTGAGTCAAAAAAAAACAAAAACAAAAACAAAAAAACTCAACCAAACAAACAACAAAACCCACTGGCTAGTTCATCTGAAAGGAAAAAGGCTATTTATTTGGAGGACATTCTAAGAAGGATAAGTGCTGGGGATGGAGGTGGGGAAACCTTTGCATTCTTTCTTTACCTCCACAGCTGAATTTCCAGTTGCTGACAGGTGAAACACAAGCTTTTATTTGGGCTACTGCCCATAGTGGAAATGATGGAACAATTGCCACTAAGCCCAAAGCCCAACAGCCCAGGTCATAGCCGCAACAATATACCACTGCAAAATATAAGAATAAAAATGTGAAATCTTAACACTTCATCAAAGGTTAAACAACCAAGGAGAGTCAACTAAATAGAAACGTGAGGGGCTTTTTGCTCAGGAGTTGCAGATTTAAAAAAAATAATATCTTGAAAACACTGTTTCAGAGCCATGAAAATTCTAATGTTTGGGCAGAAGTTTCAAATGGCAGGTGAAATAAATTTTCACCCATCCCCTTGTTTCTAAAGGCATTAATGGCACAAATTAGGCTCTGTCCTAAGGACTGAAATCAACAGAGCACTTCCTCCTCAAACCCCAAAAGCTTCCTTAAAAAAGGAAAACTCATGTTTTCCGTCCTCCCTGCCCATTTACCAAAACAGCACACTTACCATTCTCAAATCTCTTTCCCAGGAAGGCAGAACCCTCCCCTTACCCATTCTGGGCCAAGCATGGTTCTTCCTCTTGCCCTGTTTTCTCTACAGGGTCAACAGCTCCCACAAAGTGAGTTCAAGGTTTGCTCACTGTTCTCAGAGACTGGACTACTAGAAAGAAAGCATCTGCTGCATGTAAAGAAAGCCTGGAAATGGCACGAGTTTTAAGACTGAAAGTGGGAGAAAGAAGAAGTCCTTTCACCCCACTCACTAATGTTCTACTGGGAAATGCTTGGGCAGTGGTGGCAGAGGAGGTGCCCTGGGGACTTCGCTTTTTGTTGTGCAGCTCTTTTCTTTACTCAAAAGGCTTCTCTTCCCCTACAGATCCCTAGTGATTTTTTCTTTCTTTTTTTTTTAGAAGTGCCTTAAAAATATGTTTCTTCAAAAATAAAAAGCAGCTGAATCTTTGCCTTCCCTCTCACTCGGTTATCCTGAAGAGAGAACTGATACCTGGGTGTTACCCATAGTCATCTGCTCCTCACCTAAGTTTTTAAACACATTAACACAGTACTTTGGGGGCCTACTGTATACAAACCTGTATATACAAGCAAGTTTTCACTGGAAAGAAAAATGTGTAGTATTAGGTTAAATACTTTTATGCAAATAATTCTAAGGATAGTTTGGTATTTAATTTCCCCAGTGAGTCTGGAGGTGCTGTTGGAAAGGTCTGACCAATCGTGTTTTTGGAAGGTGAGGATGAAGAACAACTGTTCAACGAGGACTCTGTACTCCTAGATAATCTTGTCCTGATACTGACTCTGGAATGTGGAGTTA